TTTTGTATAAAAATGCATATAATATTTATTTTTATTAGAAAAATATCTCAAAAATAAATTCATATATTTTTTAATAAAAGCACAAACTGAAAAAAAGGAAAAAAAATTAAAAATTCATAAAAAAAGAAAAAAATTAAAAATTATGAATTTATATATGCCTTTTTATTGCAGAAGGTTTTTGACTTGTACTAGGATAAAGCAATAGTAAAGGGATACATATGAATCCATAATTTTTTATTTTTTCTTTTTTTTTTAAGTTTGTATTTTTATTAAAAATATATAAATCTATTTTTGAGATAGTTTTTAAAATAAATAAATATTACATATATTTTTATTTAAAATAAAGTGAGGTAGATTTTGGGTTATTGGAAATGAAGACTTAATGAGTAAATTACTTGGTGTCAACAAAGCCACAAGTTTTGATTTTAATTTTGAAAATTTTTTTAACTTTTATATTTTCATATTTTGAGGATTTTTTAATAATTTTTTAAAGTTTAAATTTATCTGAAAAAAATTTCAATTTAAACTATTGAAAAGAAGAAAAAGTAAATCTGCAATATGAAGAGAGAGAATGTAAAGGAAGAGAGAGAAGATGAATGGAAGAAAAGGAAGTAGATGAGAATTCTTTAGTAATTTTGCAGTTTAAATTGACCACATCACCTACCCAATGCCATATCAGCGCCAAGCCATTTCTGGGTAACGGAGTAACAAGGATGTGGACGGAAAGATGACATTTGATGAGGTCATTGTCAGCAAAAGGGCTGATATGCGGGTTTTGTCAAGTGGAGGGGCTGATTTGCTCTACTTTTAGGTAGAGGGGCTGATGTGCCACAACAATGGACGTAGAGGGGCTGAATTGCACCTTCTGCCTTTTAAAAGACCAAAAAACTTACAACTATAGTTATAGCTCATATTCAATTTTGTATTATTTTCTTTAAGCTTCATTGGAGAGTATTGTGATGAAATTACGGGTTTATTTTTTAATCTTTTATTATTGTAAAAGTATATAAAATATATTCATTTATTTAATATTTATTTTAATTAACAAGTTATATGTTTTTAGGATAATAGAAAAAAAAATCAAAAGTTAAAAAGAATTTCTCAAACAAGCCTTAGTTGTCTTAATTTGACTTTTGTGGTTAAGTTTTAACTAATTCTTTTATATTACTCCCTCTATTTAAATTTAATTTTAGTATGTTTAGTTTTTTTCAATAAAATAAGGATGTAATAATTAATTGATAAAATTTT